CTGTTTTACTACCAATCTTAACATATACCATCCTTACAACTCGGATACAACTCAGATAATGACATAGTCACTAATCCGAGATGTAGGTATAGATTGAACATGGCACACCTTCCTTCCTTCAATTCCTGTTAACTTTTTCTAAATCCGCTGACCAGTATATAAAATGTTCGCAGTCGTTTGCACCCAAGTCAGTAAATATGTATTCACCAACTGATTTATCTCAGTGGCAATGTTTCCTATTCGTGGATCATTTCTACACGGTCGACAGAGTACGTTTTTGTGGGATAATGCAATATTGCATAATCCCATATAGTCGGTGCATATCTTGAAGGTTTGCAAATATGATGTCATGTGACAGATCTTTGTGAGCATGAGTAGTCTAATAAGTACACTGGATACTAGTATTTCGTGTGACTGTTTTCAAGTAAAGGTGGCCATTGCTACCTTTGTTGTGCCTAGTCATTGCTAGACCTAGTCATATTGTGTTTGTTTTAGTTGTGTTTAATTCAGTGCAGCAAGCAAACATAAAACAAAGAAACCATGGAATAATAGGTACACAATTCAACTTAGGTTGTGTTCAGTACATGGCTCCCGAGTGCGAGGTTAATCTATGTACTTCATGTATGAGCAATGAACTGTCACTGATGGTCCAATCAGAACCCAGGCTACAATGACTAACATGTCCCCTTTTGAGATTATTTTAGAATCAAACTATTAATATGCTAACAATGGCACATCGTCTTTAAATATCAACTTGAAAACATCATGGTGTTCCTAATCAGCCAGATATCGCAGTCCTTAAAATTTAAACACTGTCATATACAAAGTCTGGATTTCTAGGTGGTTTGGTAACACATCCAGAACGCAACCTTGTCAGCACTGGTGTTGATTCTACTGGTTCGGCTCTGGTCATGTCATTGTTGGTCATCTTCTGCTCTGTCTTTTCCGTACTGCTATTAGCAAGTGATGATTTTTCCATAGTGGATGGTGTGTCTGCTGAAGGGCTTACTGAAAACGGTGGCTCATGCACTTCTGGAATTGATGACAGTGGTGGTATTAGAGCAATTGCTGCTGGAACATCATTTGACAGGTTTGCTGGACATCTTGTAGGAACCTGTGACAGGGGTCGCTTCTGTGCAATACTGGTATAATGAGGTTTGATGTCATGCTTGTTTCGTTCAAGCCATCTGTTGCTCTTGTCGTTGATGATCCAGTATGAATCTGGTGAGGTATCTTTGGACTCGATGTATCCTGGTTTCCACTCATCTGAATTGTCATCAGTAAGCCAGATGGGTTGATTGGGCAGGTAGATGTTGCTGTCCTGCTTCGATGGCTTCAAATGTGCTGAGCGTTTGTCACTGAGGTGAGTCTTCTGCTGATCAGTCAATGGAACTGGTGTCATGGCCATGCTGAGACAGGTGTTTATTCGTCTGTTGAGGAATAGTTCAGCAGGCAATCATAAGGTGTCACTGACTGGAGTGTCAAGATATGTTGTCAGGGCTTTGGTAATATCAATGTCACTTGTGCTTTTCTTTAGGATCTGTTTGACCACTAGTTTGATGGTAGTATGGGCTTGATGTAATATGCCCAATGTCAAGCTGATCACAAAAGCACCGGAATTTGTCAGATCTGAAGCATGGGCCATTGTCAGAGATGATCTTCTTGGCAAGTCCAGTTTTCCTGAAGATGTTGGTCAGCACTTTTGTGACAGTGTCGGTTGTCTCACCGTCAAGGATGTCATAGGTGAGAAAACCAGAGAAGTAGTCGAATGTGACCAGGGCATGCTGGCCCTGGAAGTCCACCAAATCCATGCTCAGAATTTCCATTGCACTTTTGGAAAATCAACCACTGCACTTTTGGACAATCTCCGTGATGTCATCCTGTAGCTTTGGCTAATACACAGTGCATCTTGCATGTTGGAGCACTGAGTTAAGACCTTGATGTGCATCATGCAGACGATCAAGGGTTCCAGGTCTCATACCTGAAGGAATGACAACTCTGTTCCCCATCATGACAAATTTGTCAAGGATTGTCAATTCATATCGGAAGCACCAATATGGATGCAGATGCTCTGGTAAATCTTCCATGTTATCTGGCCAACCAGTGATGATGAGATCTGTTAATGCAGCCAAAGTGGAGTCTGCTTTTGTCTCTTCTTGTAAGGATTTGAGTTTTGTCGTCTCTACTTTTGGGACTTGTGCAATGTTGATGTCTAGACGAGGAATCTCTCTGGCACTGCCTGGTTTAATGAGATGAGAGAGAGTGTCAGCGATTAGCACCCTCTTGGATCCCATGTACTTCACTTGAATGTCATATTTAGAGAGACGCAACAACATTCTCTGCAATCGGGCTGGAGCCAAGCTGATTGGTTTTTTAAAGATTGACTGTAGGGGCTCGTGGTCAGTATGCACAGTGATTTTCCTCCTAAATGTGTATCTGTGCAGCTTTTCCCAAGCACACAAGACAGCCAACAGTTCTTGCTCTATGTTAGAATAGTTAACTTCAGGAGGTGTAAGTGCTTTGCTGAGAAAGCGCACAGGTTTGCCATCTTCAATCAGGACTGCACCAAGCCCTTTCAAGGATGCATCTGTCTCAATGACTGCTGGCTTGCTTGGATCATAGTGAATGAGCTTAACAGCATTGGCGATGTCTTGCTTGATGGTGTCCAGTTCTTTCTGCACATCACTGGTCCATACAAAATGTACGTCACGTTTCAGCAAACTGCGCATGAGATACATTTTCTTTGTCAAATTGGGGGTGAATGTAGACATAAAGTTCACTGTCACAAGTAAGCTTTGCAGCTCTTGCTTGTCAGATGGAGCAGCAAGCATGGTGATGGCTTTCACCTTCTTTGGACAAGGTTGGATACCTTGCAGAGTGATCACACGTCCGAAGTACTCAATTTCCTGTTTCTTGATGAAACACTTTTCTGGGTTGAACTTAAGGCCCACTTGGCGAGCTTTCTGTACTGTTTCCAATAGGTGGATGTCGTGGTGCTCTTCTGTCGTGCTTGTACTTTGACATCATCTGCACATGGGAATGTCCTAGGAATGCTAGTTAGGACTCGATCCATGTGCTTGCAGAAGATTTCAGATGATACTGACGATCCAAAGGGTAAGCGCATGAAGCAGTACTTTTTGAATGGTGTGTTGAACACAGTAAGAAGCTGGCTCTGCTCATCGAGTTGTTTGGTCCAGTACCCGCTCTTGGCATCCAGTGTGGAGAAATCCTGACCATCCCTGAATCTATGTTGAACATGCTCCCAGGATGCAGTGTAGTGAACATTGCAGATCAGGTACTTGTTTAGATTTCTCGGATTGAGGCACAGACATAAGGTTCCATTCTTTTTGACAGCAGTTACCAGATTGTGTACCCAGTTGGTAGTTTCTGGACAAGCTGTAATGATTCCTTCCTGCTCCATCTTGTTTAGCTCCTTCTTTAGCTGTGGCATTATGCTTTGTGGTACAGCACATGAAGGTAGCTAAATTGGTTTTGCATTTGGTGTGAGTTTGAGGCTCACCTTGTCTTCAAAGAGACCGACCTGGCCATCAAAGGTCTCTGGGAAGATCTGCTTCAGGTCCTCCAGAGGATCACCTGTTGCCCTGCCAAGTGGTAACTGCTCCTTCCACTAATTTTTAAGATCAAGATAGTCAGCTGCTGGTGATGTGTACAGCCTCTACTTGGTTGGGCTCCATGGATATGTTTTGCTGTATGCACACAGGTGCGATAGACACAAGTTTGAACTCTTTGCAGAATTCAAGACCAAAAATGAAAGCATGTGCCTGTTTGGTGATGTAGAACCTTGCCATGACAGGATGTTATACAGGTGACCTTAATATCCACAGTTCCACAGTTCTGAAGATCTGCACTAGACATACCGTGGATGATAGCATCACTGGGCTTCAGGTCTTTCTTGGACCGCTCGATCTTTGGAAGCATGGAGGATACCATAGCACCGGTGTGAACCTTGCCTGTAATCTCACAGGAGCAAACACCTCACGTGACTCATGATTTTTAGCGGAGTGGATTGACACAGCACTTAGGTCAAAGTCATCATGTTCACTGCTTTCCAAATCAGATTCAATGTCTACAGCATGTTGGTGTTTGGACTTCTTGTCTTTGTATGTCCCTTTTCTCTTGAGGCATGCCCACTCAAAATGTCCTTGCTTGCTGCAGAATTTACAGGTTGCACCATTAGCTGGGCACTTGTCACGAGAATGAACATCTTCCTCACACCAGACACAGGATTTCTTTCCATCTGTCTTGCTGTCTGTATTTGGCTTAGGTTTAAAGAACCTATGAAGTAAAAAATAATTGCTGCTGATTTGAAAGGCTTTTCAAAGTAAAGAAGAATGATGTTTTCCTTTTTGGAATACCTTTTTTCGTTTTAGAGATATTCACGTTTTTGTATCATAATTGATGACGTCATAGGTGGTTCCAGTAAAACAGTTCAACACTCAATCAAGAATATCTCTAGAAATATTTCAGTAGTGTTCTTTAAACTTGGCACCAGAAATGTACATCACAAAAGAAACAAAATGACACCCATCGTGCAGACGCCATAACGACATTTAAACCACTGGTCCTGTTTTAATTAAAACTAACATTACCAGATTTTATCTTAAACAGGGATCATCCACTCCCAACAATCTAATGGGGAGAGTTAAGACAATATCGGAATCACGTGTGTTCCGAGCAAGACCCTCTGTCCCTTTTCAAAGGGTTGCAAACTGGCATATTTGGTTTTTCACAGAAAGAGGCTGGAGCCAAAAGTGTTGCCATGGCAACAACACAGAAGGTGTCATTCTGTTTCTTTTGCCAAGTTTAAAGAACACTGCTCCAATATTTCTTGAGATATTCTTGATTCAGTGTTCTACTGTTCAAGTGGAACCACCTATGACGTCATCACTTTCCTCATTTGCATAATACAAAAACGTAAATATCTCTAGAACGAAAAAAGATGTTCCAAAAAGGGAATTGCCATTCTTCTTTACTTTGAAAAGCCTTTCAAATAAGTAGCAATTATTTTTTACTTCATGGGCACTTTAAACTGCTTTTTCTTTAATCCATTCCCTTGTGACTTTAGGGATGGGTCATGTGTGTATGAGGCATCAACATGCACCTCACTGGAGTCTTCTAACTTTTTCATGGTGGCTTCCACAGCTTCACATCTGCACATACATGAGCACTGGCCCATATATAAACATAATTGATCTTTACTCTGTCTGACCTGGAATGTAGAGGTCTGCCTAGGACCCTCTCCACCTCTTTTCTTCACAATTTGAATCGCAAGGAAGCATTGCTGGAGGTCCAGTCGACCTTTGTTTGCGGAACATAGTTGCTTTCAGCCATGGCCATTTCCAAATGTTACATAACACACTTAATATTTGGTTATTGAAGATGCAAAAGTTTCTTTGATGCAATACGAAAAGTCACAACTGAAGCAAATTTGTCAACAAACACTTGCCTGAAGTGTTCTAAGTGTCTTTTGCTGAAGAGTCTTACAGAGAGTCTCTTCCACAGAACACCATGTTATGGTGCAGGTGATCTGATTGAAGATCGAATTGAGATGGTGCTGAAGTCCTTTTGATTGTCTGTAGCACTGAGGAAGCATTGACTTCCCTCAAAAGCTTTGTTCACACGTTGGGGTCACCATGTTCTAGTTGTGTTTAATTCAGTACAGCAAGCAAACAAAACGGAGAAACCGTGGAATAACAGGTACACAATTCAGCTTGGGTTGTGCTCAGTACATGGTTTCCAAGCATGAGGTCAATCTATGTACTTCATATACGAGCAATGAAATGTTACTCACAGTCCAATTAGAACCCAGGCTACAACGACTAACACAACAGTGTTGTCAGAACTTCTTTTGGATTCTTTGCCCTGCTTTTTCTCTGGATTTAATTGCAGTTTTCAAGGTAAGTTACTTTCCATTTTTCAATTGCTGTGTCATGCTGCTTTGTTATTGGAAATTAACTGCACTGTCCTTGAGAAAAACTTACGAGATGCCTTATTTATTCTTGGTTATTTCATTTAGGTGTTGCTGAGCAAGTTTTCTCCGTGATTCAGGAGTTGTTTTGCTCACTCAAGCCATCATATCCGGACTTGGCATCTGCAGTTTGCACTGAAGTTAATACGCTTTTGCAAGCCCGCATTCATTGGCTTGAAATTCGTTGTGGGTTGCACCATGCAAGCTTTCACAAGGCAGTATCTCAATAGTATTTCACAAGTATCTCACAAGCCAGTATTTCTCGGTTTGAACTATCAGTTCAGGTTGCACCACACACTGAATGGTAAACATCAATTGAACTACACCAGTTCAGTATTGGCCATCACGTCAATTTCGTCAAAGTCAAGGATGCCTGATCACTTGTTCAAGGACAATTTTGGAATACATGATGCTTATGACGCTTTATTCAAGGATTTTCACGCTAATTGTTTCTGCGCATCCTTACTGCGCACACAAATTCACATGCCACATCATGCATGAGCACGCACTAAGTAATAAAATGAACAATGATAGGGCAGATGGCCATTGCTATAGCTTTGCTTGGATTTAATGATCTTGGATATTCGGTGACCCCTACTTTCCTTTCCAGAAACAGATTTTATTTACGATTATCTCCCTATTGTCCAAAAATGAACAAAAACTCGATGTGGGAAGTTAAAAAAAGACTTCTGTCCACAGGACATCGAATCCTGCCATCTTGCAGCTGCAAGGCACATGAAACCACGGTCACTAAATGCAAACTTTTTTCTTTAGTGAACCTCACCAGTTGACTAAATTCACTTAATAGGTCCACTTAAACAATATTTGGCAGAGAATATTTCACTTCAATGATCTAATTGCAATATTTTTGGCCTTACAGACACTGTGGCCTTATTTGCTAACAAAGCCTGTTTTTTTTCAGATTTAGGGTGTTCTTCCAGGCATGTTCTCTCCAGAACGAAATCGGTAACCCCCCATTTTTTTGGCTTTTTGGCAAAAGGAGATCGTTACCTTTCTGCATGGCAAGTTTAAAAAAAATCTGTATGTGAGAACATTTTGGGTACGAACGTCCTTAAATGTGTTGTACTTGCGTTAGGTTTTTATGCTTGTTCTGCTTTTCATTCAATGAAACATTAGAAATCAGCGCATGAGTAACTAGTGCAGGCAGAACTTAGCATTGATGGTAGTATTGAGAGGTACAGGCTGAGCCTAAATTATGAAATTTTGCAAGCCAAAGTGAATTTCCCTTTGGGCAAGCAAAAAGATTTTCATAAACGCAAATCGAATGGGGGCTTTAAAATTGCCTACAGGCCAAAATGTTAATTTTTATCACAAAATGACTGACTTAAATTGTGACGATTAAAAGAAAAAAAACATTTTTGTACCCTTGAAGATGGGAAGCTAATTGTTATCAGAGGATAAAGTAAGTAAGTAAACCATATTTTGCAGTAAATTTCCCACTTAAAAGTTGTAACGACTTGTCTATGTTAATACCAGAAATCCAAAAAAGTCTGTTGCATAATTCACGTATTTCTACACTTTTATCTTTACAGTGATTGCCTTCTCACTTGTAGTAATTCAACCCCCAGATACTTACATTTAAAACAATCTTCAACTGAATGGAATTAAAGTAAGCATAAGCCAACAAGTATGCATTGCAGACCAATTTTTTAGCTCGAAACCAATTCAATGCTGTTCAATGGAAGTAGCACCCTGTATGATTGACCAATGTAACACCAGGACACAAGTCGCATTTAAGCTTACATGTACATGTGATTGTAAGGGAAAGACTTCAAGGTTCTTCCCCCTCGTTTTGATTGTAAGGGAAAGTCTTCATCGTTTTTCCTTGGCAATCCTATCTGACACTAATGGTAGACTTGTACCAGTAACTCCCATCTCATCTGGACTCTCTTGGAGCAAACAACACAGTCCCTCCTTGTATCAGTGTCTGCAATTTCATGGTATGCTCCATCCAGCCTCTTAGAATCAACTTCAGCTAGTGGTTAAATTGGTGGGCAACCAGTCTTTCCATGAAATGACCCTCTGGAAATGAGCTGTTGTGTCACTTCCTTGTGATAAATTAGAAATTCTGCGTTGCTGGGCTTCAATTTCTTAATAATAATAAAGGAGTCCAGGAGACACACTTCTGGGTCATAGCCAAACAACTTCTTGCAGGATTTTCAGGATTTTCTAATCACACTGAATGTCCTGATGAGCTGGTCAGCAAGGTCTACTCAACCCATATATTTTTTTAATGGTCAAGTTGAGCTGAAGGAAAATTAATGTCAGCATTTACATCATGAGCTGACTTTCTCTTGATAGTGGCAGATTGACCATCAAGATCTGGAGTATGAATAGTCAGTAAATGATAAACAACCCTTCGGTCATTCCAGGCTGTTGTTTCTAATCTCCTATAGGCTCTCCACAAATAGTCTCCATGAACCATTTCATTTTGCAGTTGT